AGAAGAAGAAGAAGAAGAAGAAGAAGAAGAAGAAGAGGAGGAGGAGGAGGAGGAGGAGGAGGAGGAAGAAGAAGAAGAGGAGGAGGAGAAGGAGGAAGAAATCATGCTTATTTGTATTGAAATGTATGATACCCAGGTATCACACCATTTACACATTGATATGTATAAATAACATACAATAAAAAAAACTTGCTTGAAAAAAGAAGGGGAGGAGGAGGAAGAGGAGGAGGAGGGAGAGGGAGAGGGAGAAAGAGATTTTTTTTGTTTGGTTTGTCCAAAATATCAACACTTTCCCAGTTGAAACTGTGGGTAAATCTCTCAAAGTGTTGAAAAGTGAAGGATTTTTTTTAAAAAGCCAGTTGATATTCTTGAATCTGTTCTACCAGTTTTCTACCTCTGTCTTTGTATCACGGCTGCCGCAGTCCTTACACGGCCTCCCGAAATGTTGGCTTCGGTTGTGGTTGCAAGCTTGCATCTACTTCAACACAATGTGCATTGTCTAACAGTTCAGCTTCGGAGAGCGGAAAAAGTGTGAGCCATATTCTGCCAGCGCCTGACACATAGTCATGGCGTGTTGTTTTTTTAACATAGCATTTGACATTTTAATGGAGGGTAGATTTATCAACAGGTGCAAACCATGGCTCAGAAGCTGTAGATCTCACTATGCCCAAAGCTGCACATAAATAACAGTGAAGGTCATTGTGTTCATGCCACGCTGGTGATTATCCAGAACCAAGTTCCTTGTGTAATCACGACGACAACGTAAGACTAGTTGGACAGTCTGAAGTTCCATCAACCGGATTCCTTCTTTCTGGGCTCTTGAATAAGTTAATTGCACGGGTGTTACGACCCAGGAGGTCAAGGCAAGGCAGGCCTTTAGAGAGCCCTCTATTGTCCTCAGGAAGTGTTCAATAAATGGAGCGGTGAGGCGGCCTAGAGGTGGAGCTCTCGCCTCACAATCAGGAGGCTGAGGGTTTGATCCTAGGTAGAGGCAGAATATTTCTCTCTGGGAGAATAGATCTGCTGAATAAAATTCTGCACTGGTGACAGGAAGGGCATCCGGCCATTAAACACTCTGCTAGTGTTGTGGCCCACCGGCAGCCAGTATAGCTGGCAGCAGAGTCAGACAGTGAGGAGGTTGGGGAGGAACAGGGCTCGGTCCTGGAGTCTGGGGAAGGCTCAGAGGAGGGCTCTGCATTGGAGGCAGAGAGGGAGCNAAGAAGCCATGGGTGGAAACTAATCAAGGAGAGAAGCAACTTAGAACTAAGGAGAAATTTCCTGACAGTGAGAACGATTAAATCAGTGGAACAGAAGTTGCCTCCAGAAATTGTGAGTGCTCCATCACTGGAAATTTTTAAGAAGAGATTGGACAACCGTTTGTCTGAAGTGGTATAGGGCTTTCTGCTTGAGGAGGGGGGGGGTGGACTAAAAGACCTCCAAAACCCCTTCCGTTATTCTGATGAATCCAAAGGACTGGGAGGGGGGGGTGACCTGATAGCAGAGTATCAATATTTGGGGCGCTGCCCCGAAGAAAAGAGGGTCAACCTATTCTCCAAACCGCTTGACAGCAGGACAAGAAGCAACGGAGGGAAACTAACCAAGGAGAGAAGCAACTTAGAACAAAGGAGAAATTTCCTGACAGTGAGGACAATTAACCAGTGGAACAACTTGCCTCCAGAAGTTGTGAATGCTCCAACACTGGAGGTTTTTAAGGAGAATCTAGACATCCATTTGTCTGAAAGGGTTCTCCTGCTTGAGCAGGGGGGCTGGACTAGAAGACCTTCAAGGTCCCTTCCATACTATTATCCTGCTAATCCTGCTGAATGCCTTGAGCAGAAGCTTCCAACTTGATCTGTGCACATGGCAACCCAGTGCCAGCGCCTGCTTCCAGAACGGGCAGCACCATCCACCCACCCCTGGGCTCCTTGGCTGCTGCTCGTTGCCAAGGATCCATATTAGAATTTTGCAGCTGACATGGCTAAACATGTGATTGACAGGTGGCGCGCGGCTGAATGCAACGGCAAGCAAGGCCTATACCTGTTTTTGTCATATCGCTGTCGATCACCGGACAAGAGAATGTGATTCTTTATTTCTTAGCAGCCTTCCGGTCCTCGTATATGTCTCCTAAGGAAGTCTCCCCTGCAGTTTTGAGTTTTCCATGCAGCGAGTTTCAAAAGCTCTTTTTGTTCATAAATCCTCTGCCTGGAAATTAAAAAAGAAAAGAAAAGAAAGCCAAGGAGAACAGGCAGGGTTAAAATGCCTTTTTGGATGGAAGTAATGTAAAAGAGAAAGAGGGAGGGGGAAAGGAGGGGAGGGAGACGAGAGGGTGGGAAAGAAGGAAGGAGATGAGGTGTGAATGGAAGGGGAGGGAGAAAGGAAGGAAAGAGATAGAAAAAAGGAAGAAAGTGATGAGGTATGGATGGAAGGGGAAGGAAGGAAAGAGAAACAAAGAAAATTAAAGAGGAAGGAGATGGGTGGATGGGAGGGGAAGCGAGAAAGCAAGGAAGGAAAGAGAAAAAAAGAAACAAAAAGAGAAAGAAAGAGGAAGGAAGGAAGTAGATGAGGTGTGGATGGAAGGGGAAGGAAGTGAGGAAGGAAAGAAAGAAAAAGAAAGGAAGGAAGTGAGTGGATGGAAGGGGAAGGAAAGCAGAAAGAAAGGAACGAAAGAAAAGAAAGAAAAAGAGGAAGGAAGGAGATGAGGTGTGGATAGAAGGGGAAGGAAGGAAAGAGAAAGAAAAAGAAAGGAAGGAGATGAGTGGATGGAAGGGGAAGGAAAGCAGAAAGAAAGGAACGAAAGAGAAAAGAAAGAAAAAGAGGAAGGAAGGAGATGAAGTGTGGATAGAAAGGGAAGGAAGGAAGGAAAGAGAAAGAAAAAGAAAGGAAGGAGATGAGTGGATGGAAGGGGAAGGAAAGCAGAAAGAAAGGAACGAAAGAGAAGAGAAAGAGAAAGAGGAAGGAAGGAGATTAGGTATGGATGGAAGGGGAAGGAAGTGAGGAAGGAAGGAAAGAGGAAAAAAGAGAAAGGATGAGGTGTGGATGGAAGGGAGAAAGAAATGAAGGAAAGAGAAAGGAAGGAGATGAGATGTGGATGGAAGGGGAAGGAAGGGAGAAAGAAAGGAAAGAAAGAAAGAAAAAAGAAAAGGGAAGGAAGGAAGGTGTGGATGGAAGGGGAAAGAAGGGAAGAAGGAGAGGGAGATAGGGAGGGTGGAATAAAAGAAGGAAGGGTAAACTTGAATGAAAGTTTTGCCAAGAACATACAAACTAACGCAAACTAATCGAAAGTAAGAGGAAACAAAAAAGTGCAGAAAGAAAGAAGGAAAAAAGAGAAGGAAAGAAGGGAACTCTTTGCACTCGCAAAAGAGGCGGCGGTTACAAAAGAAAGCCCCCCCCTTTTTTTTTAATTCATCCGTTGTCTGTCCGGCAGCCCCAGCGTAAACTTCTCTTGTTCCTCCACGGAGGGGGGGGGGACCCATTTTTGCTTTTTTGAGGGGTGGGGGAGCTCTGCTTCCAAGCCGCCTCTGAGCTCTGGAGCTTTTCCTGATTCCCCCCCCTTTCCTGCCCCCCCCTCCCCCTGGCTCTTCCAGCTTGACAACGACAGCAGCACCCTCAAACCTCGCCCCCAGCCTGAGCTCGCCAACAGCACGGTCCCCTCCCCTTCGCACAAGGTACAGCGCAGCGTCTCCGCCAACCCCAAGCAGCGCCGCTTAAGTGACCAGGGTGAGTTTCTTCCGCTTCCGCGCTCCCCCCTTCATTCTGGGCCACGCGGGGAAATACCTCATCTTCCTCCTTTCCCTTCTTTTCCCCTACGACGACAAACCTGCGAGGTGGGCTGGGCTGAGAGAGAGAGAGAATGATTGGCCCACAAATCACCCAACCAGCTTTAAGGAAGGGACTAGAACTCACCGTCTCCTGGGGATTGCTCCCAGGCCACCCAGCTGGGTTTCATGCCTAAGGTGGGACTAGAACTCACCGTCTCCTGGTGATTGCCCCCAAGCCACCCAGCTGTTTCATGCCTAAGGTGAGACTAGAACTCACCGTCTCCTGGTGATTGCCCCCAAGCCACCCAGCTGTTTCATGCCTAAGGTGGGACTAGAACTCATCATCTCCTGGTGATTGCCCCCAAGCCACCCAGCTGTTTCATGCCTAAGGTGGGACTAGAACTCATCATCTCCTGGTGATTGCCCCCAAGCCACC